GAGAAGGGCTTGAGGTTCAGAGTGCCCTTGGATTCGGAGATCGGTCTTGGAGCAGCGAGCCTGGTGATGGGCTCGGCCTGGGCGGTCTTCTTGGCACACACCTGCCTGGAAGCGAGCTTCGAGTCACTGCGGGCGCCGAGCATTACCTATGGGAAGCCGACCCCAAGCTTTCGGAGCCCGACGTCAACTACTCGACCTTCGTTGCAGCAGGGGGATCTTCCCCCAAGCGTGACCGAGGCGGTGGAGGACGAGACGGCCGAGGAGGTGGCGGTGAAGCTCATCCTGATGCTTTATATCGACGATTACATCGGTTTTACTCTGAAGGGCCCAGGCGAGGAGGAGGACATCGTGAAGGACAAGGAGGAGGTGAAAGAGCTCCTGAACAGCAAGGGCCTCGCGATCCACAAGGAGGACTGCGGAGAGGGGCTCAGCGCGGGGCTTGGACTCACGATACCCACGGCCAGGCCCTACGTCCTGAGGGTCCAGACGAAGAAGTTGGCGGAGCTGGTCTTGGCGACGGAGGCCCTGCTGATGGAGGACGCTGCTCAGCCAGCAGTCTTGTCGAGTCTGGTGGGCCATTGGACGTGGGCCATGATGGTGTTCAGGCCCGCGTTCGCCATCCTGGACGACACCTACAGATGTGTTCGGAGCTGGGAGCTGGAGGAGGCGGTCGTGCCAAGGAGGCTGCCCGAGATCGTCAAGAGCGAGCTCGCGGCCCTGGTCAGCCTCTCGATCTACATGGAGGCGGACTTGGAGGCCCCTTGGTGGCCACGTGCGTACATGACGGACGCCTCGGAGAGCGGATATGGAGCCCTGGCCTACGACTGCGATCCCGAGGAGGCGAGAGCGGAAGCGGCACGGGGAACGGAAGGTCTCTGGGGCCCTCTGGTGGAGGATGTGTACACCGAGGTGGAGAGGACGGTGGAGGCCGAGGGCGACGAGGAGGACCTGCCGGCCCGACCCCAGGCTGGCCGCCCGGGGGTGCTGGAGTTGTTCTCGGGATCGTCGAGGTTGCTGGATGCCGTCAAGGACCTCACGAACTCCTGGGGGGAGGCGTGGGACATCTCGGAGGGGGCCGAGTACGACGTGCTGGTATGCGAGAACCTGGAGCTGCTACTGAGGAGGCTGCGTCAGGGGTGGTACTGGTGGGTTCACATAGCGCCGCCTTGCGCCACCTTCTCGAAAGCTCGGGTGCCGCCTCTGAGGTCAACCGAGTGCATCTGGGGGCTGCCCGCTTTGGATGGACCAAGTCAGGCCAAGCTCGAGGAGGGGAACCTGCTGTGCCTGGTGGCGGTGGAGGTGCTGAAGGTCTGCGTGGCGCTGGCGATCCCCTTCACTTTGGAGAACCCTGCTGGGAGCTACATTTGGGCTTTCCCGCCGCTGGTGGAGGTGCTTTTGAAGGCGGACGTCTGGAGGGTGGAGCTGGACTACTGCATGTTTGGCGAGGTCTGGAAGAAGCCCACCGCGTTTTTCACGAGCGTGAAGGAGATGACGAAGCTGGCGAGGAGGTGTACAGGTACCTTTCGCTGCTGCAGCCGCACGCTGAGGCCTCACCAGGAGCTGAGGGGCAAGTCACCATGTGGGCTCAGGTGGACACAGCTGGCATGCGCGTACCCGCTCGAGCTCTGCAGGTGCTATGCCGAGATCATGAAGGAGCTCGAGCCCGCGTGGGGAACGATACCAGCGGGGGCCCGGCTGAGGCTGCGAGGAGGCCGGACACAGATCGCCAAGGCGACGGGGACGACCATGCCTCTCAGGCCCGTGTGGCTGAAGCACCACTGGCACGTCCTCTTCTGCGGGAAGTGGGGGCACCAGGAGCACAACAACATCCTGGAGCTGCGGACGGTGGTGGCCACACTGAGGCATCTGAGCAGGACATCGCAGGCATGGGGGCACAGGATCCTGATCTTCACGGACTCGCTGGTGTCGCTGGGGGCGCTGCAGAAGGGGCGCTCTTCGGCGAAGGACGTCCTGCACCTGTGCCGCATCGCGGGGATCATCCAGATGGTGTGCAGGATCAGAGGCTACTACCGCTGGGTGCCGTCGGAGCTGAACCTGGCGGACGGGCCCTCGAGGGGGCTGCCCATCGGCGCGGCGGAGGAGACGGTCAAGTTGCACGTTGCTCGGGGGGCGCCTCAGCGGCTGCAGCGGCTGTTGCATCAGCATCGAGGCCATCAAGGCCCAGCCGCTGGGTCAGTGCACTTGTAGTCTTTGCGACGCTGGTGACGCGAGGAGGTGCCGTGGGCTACCAGGACAGTCCGAGTCCGAGGTCTGCCAGGCCGCGAGGAGCGAGCGCGCAGCCGCCCCTGGCCAAGAAGGGGGCGCGGGCGTGGGAGGAGGCGCAGCATGACAAGCTGCGCTATACGAACCGCCTGGTCATTCACGCCGTGGATGACGCGACAAACCTGGTCTACGAGAAGGCTGTGCGCGAGTTCCTGGTGGACGTCAAGAGGAACCAGCTGGACTTCACCACCTACGAGGCCAGGGACCAGGCGTTGGCAGACTACATTTCGGACATGTGCTACGTGCGCCGGCTCGGGTTCGGGCGGGGCAATAGCCTGTTCAACGGGTTCATGCACGTCTTCCAGGACCACCGGGACCGGCTGCCCACGGCGGCGAGAGCTCTGAAGGCGTGGGCACGGCTCGGCGAATTGGGGGAAGGCGCTCCTGTTCCCATGGAGGCGGTCGGGCTGGTCATCAGCAGAATGTTCCGCACGGGGAGGCTCATCGAGGGCTCGGCGGTGCTCACGCAACTGGACGGCTGGCTCAGGGAGCAGGACTGGGGCCAGCTCAGGGCCGAGGACGTCTCCGAGGGGCCAGGGGGGCAGCTGGCCTTCACCCTCGGCAGGCGTGAAAGGGGCGAGAAGGTCAAGACGGGCGCCAACCAGGGCGTGGTGCTCTCGTGGCCGGTGACCGCGGCCGTGGTGCGGGCCCTGCTGCGGAGCTGCGCCCGCAAGGACCTCGTCTTCCCCGTCTCGCAGGACAGGTTCAGGCGCGAGTGGCACAAGGCGCTCAAGGACGAGGGCCTCGCCGGCATGGGGCCCCCCCATGCCATTCGGCACTCAGGGGCGGCCACATTCGTGGCTGGTGGCGGCTGCTTGGAGGCGGCTAGGCGCAAGGGCAGGTGGCAGACAACGTCGGCCTTGGCACGCTACACGAAGACGCATGTGCTCGTCAGCCAGCTCGCGAAGATGTCAGAGGAGCAGGTGAAGGCGGGCACCAGCTTTTGGGCGAGGCCGGCCGAGGCGCTGATGACGTTCATCGTGGAGTCCCCCGCCGCTCAGACTCCCCTGGCGAAGCAGATGCTGGAGGAGCTGGCGGGGGTGCAGGGGACGCAGGTTGAGATCCCCTGCTTCGACGGCGGGCGGGTGCTGACGACGGGCCGCCCGAGCACAGCATCCCGAGCCCGTCACAGCCGCAAGACGAGAGTGGCTCGCGGCTCGTGATAATTATGATTATCTTTTGATATAGCCGGAGTGTGCCTGGAGGCGCGTTGATGCGTCCCCTGTCCTCACCTGTATTCCTGAACAGAACATAGAGCAAGAATTGGACCGGGGGTCTTACATAAAACAGGGGGCTGGAGCACAACATAGATACGAACCCTTCCCTCCCTCCTTTATCTGCTGAAGGCTGGTGTTTAGGCATGTATGCCAGTCTCGATTTGATGGGGTTGGGACTGATGCGTTTCCGAGTTTTATCGCGGGCCCTGATAGGCCTGAGGCCAGGTCAGGCACCGCTCTGGACTTGGGCCCAAGGTGGCTCGGGCTCGCCTCTTGAACACCTTTCGGGGGGACCTCCCCCTCTAGGCTCGCTGGCGGCACTTGCTTCCGTGCCTTCTGTTGCTGTGTCGGGTATTCGAGCTTCTGCATGGCAGGTCGTTGGTGGAAATGTTACTTAAGACCGGCTTTTTCCTTAATGGCCGCTTCTGCAAGGCAGGTCGTTGGTGTTCAGTAGGGTTGTCGTTCCAGCTCCGCCTGCCCCCCTTTCAAGGTCCCCCCGAGCTCTCATACAAAGCTGGCTAACTTTAAGAGGCGTCAATGTAAATACGCGTTTTATACACACACTTTTACAGTAGCATCGACAATGTATCTAGCCGCCTTCATTGCATCCATTCGTTGCATGTCATTACCGTTGTTTGGCTGCAGTTTCGGCCCCGCCGCTCCCACCCTGGGGGCTAAATCCCTGGGACTGATGCGTTTCCGAGTTTTATCGCGGGCCCTGATAGGCCTGAGGCCAGGTCAGGCACCGCTCTGGACTTGGGCCCAAAGTGGCTCGGGCTCGCCTCTTGAACACCTTTCGGGGGGACCTCCCCCTCTAGGCTCGCTGGCGGCACTTGCTTCCGTGTATTCTGTTGTTGCGTCGGGTATTCGAGCTTCTGCATGGCAGGTCGTTGGTGGAAATGTTACTTCAGATCGGCTTTTTCCTTAATGGCCGCTTCTGCAAGGCAGGTCGTTGGTGTCCAGTAGGGTTGTCGCTCCAGCTCCGCGTGCCCCCCTTTCAAGGTCCCCCCGAGCTCTCATACAAAGCTGGCTAACTTTAAGAGGCGTCAATGCAAAACAACCTTTATCGCCATCATAGATTGTTCACAAATACCGCCGCAGCCTCCGCGCCCACCGAACAGAAAACGAGCTCTCCACTTTCTGCCAGGGGCGGCCAAGCGCAAGACGCGCCGACCGTATCTCACAACACTGAGCGCAGTCCAAAGGCCTGGGACCGAGCAGCACACGTGCAGAGCAAGCGAGGCGAGAGACCCCGGCGGCCCAACAGCGAGAGGCAGTCTACCTCGAAAGGCGGGACCTGGGGCTGCACAGTTCCCATACCGCGTGAGCAAGAGTCTCGAACTGCTTAGCCCTGGCACGAGCCATAGCAAAGTAGCCGACTTTTCAGGGCCAGCTCGGCACGGCGAACGGCAGCGACGAGCGGATCCAAGTGCTATTTCTGGCGCGGAAGTTTGCCGGGCTTCCGACACCTGGCAACGCTGCACGGGCGCCCCAATCTACCGCGACTCTGGATTGCCGCGATGTCTCTGAAAGTCCCGAAGCAGTCCTCGCCCGGGCCACCGCGCCTGACCGAGTGCGGAGCAAGCCGGAGCCACTGCAGCCGAAGGCGGTTGGCTGCGAGCGACACCTGCCTCTCGCCTCTCGAACGCGGCGAGGCTGATGGGGAAAAGCTTCTGGCCAGGCTGGCGAGAGCGCTCGAGGGCCTTCGCAAGACGACACACGACACCGCGGCCCGCCAGGTCGCTAGCCTTCTCGCCCACCAAGACCGTTAAAACGACCAGACTTCGCCGGCCGCGCGCGCTGGAGCCCAGCGCAAGCGCGAGCTTGTTCGATGGCCGAGCCCTCGCCCACGTCGTCGGCCGGTCTGACGATGACGCCCGACGGCTGCGAGGCATGGCCCACGGCGATGGGCGACCCTACGAGCTCGAGCACCTCCGATGGCCTGGCGTAGAGGTCAAACTGCAGAACTAGGGCGGCGCCGGCGTGCTGCTCCTCCAGCGCGCGGCCGCCGCCCAGGAGGTCGGCGCTGATCAGCTGGCGCGCACCCCACGGCATGGGGTCGCACTCGCGGCCCAGCGCCTGCCGCCCAAAGCCGCGCGGCGCCCGGCGCGCACATGGGAAGTCCGACCTGGCGACCGAGAGGCCGTGCACGAAAGCGGAACCGCGCAGAGCCTGGCGGGCGCGCAGAAGGTTGCAGCCGCCCTGGTAGAGGTGGGCGAAAAACCGCTCGAAGGTGACGTCGAGGCTGCGCATGTCGAAAAAGTCGCACCTGCCCTCGGCCCACATGCGGGAGTGCTGGTGGTAGAGCTCGGCCTGGCGCGCACTGACCGAAGCCGCCTTTTAAGGCTGGTCGGAGGCCAGAGGCCCGCGCTGCCGGCGACCGGCTGCGCGACCACGCCAGGCGGCGGTCCGTGAGCCCCCCGCCAAGCGCGCCTCACCCGCGGCCGGGCGGCCCGCCGCGCGACCCAGACCCGCCGGCTGCCTCAGTGGCGGGCGCCGAACGGCCACTCGCGGAGCCGGCCCCCGCGCGGGCACGTCGGCTCGGCGGGAAGGCGAGCGGGCACCGAGCCGGGGCTGAGCCGCCTGCCTGCACCTGCGAGCTCGTCCAAGAGACGAGCAAACCCATTCTCGGTACGCAACCCTCGTTTCATCTCCGAGCCCACCCGCGCACTTGGGCGCCGATCGCAGCGCCAGCTCCGCCCACCGACATAAGCGAGGGGGGTAGGCGCCGGCGAGAGAGGTGGCCTAGCTGCCACAGCAGGCTCGAGCAAAGGCAACTTGACCCTACAGAATATCACGACGGCGACCACCTCTACACCTCTGCCCCGAGAGGTCCAGACCAGCGAGGGCGCCCACGATGACGGCGGGCTCCTTGAAGCGAGCCCCAAAGGCGCAGGCATCCAGGATGACTCTGAAGACGCGATGGCCCGAGAGGTACCGGGCGATGGGGCCCCCTAGACCACAGCCGCGAGGACGCGGGATTCTCGAGGGCCCAGAAGACGTTCAGGCGATCCAGGAACTTGATCAGCGCAAGCGCATACTTAGCCGCCGAGAGCCCAGTAGCCTGGCGGAGTCCACGAGACCTCGCAGTGACCGACCAGAAGGTACATGGGGGCCCGAAGTGCACATAACACAAACGCACCCTGGAGGCCCATCTCCGCACAAGACGTTGCAGCCAGCGCGAGCCTAGATCACAGAGTTCACGAAGGCTGCAGCCCATGGCCGGGCCCACGCGAGCCCCCACGTCCAGGAGGGCCCCCGACAGACGCGCGGTGCCCGCGTAGAGCTCCAAGAAGCCCGCAAGGCCCCGAGGCGCGTCGAAGTCGCCCATGGCTCGGGCCCCAGCTCGGGCCCCCGCCCGTCTTCCCGTAGACCTCGATGCAGGCGAGGCGGGCGGCGCAGCCGATGAAGATTTGTTGGGGCACACCTCCTCGGCTAGGTCTCGGACCTCGGTCTCGCCGCCCCGCCGGCGACCGCGCCAGGCCGCGCGCTGGGCAGACCTGACAGGCGAGACGCGGCATTTGAAGAAGAAGGTGGGGTCGAGACTGCGGCTCCCCGGCTGGAGGCGACGCGCGCGAGCTCTCTCAGACCTGGCCCGCGCTGCACCTCGCCAGCCTGCAGCTCACCCCTGTCAGCGGCACGGCTGCCCCAGCCCGCGCCGTCGCGCTTCGACTCGATGCACCTCCGGCGCCAGCGCGCCTCGCAGCCCAGGCGGCTGGCCGCCGAGCGTGCCACCAGCCCCTGCAGGACTGGGTCGCGCGCCCTGCCCTTCTCGAAGGCGAGCGCGCTGGCCACGTCGCCCCCGGCGGTCAGCTGCGCGGCCCCGCGAGGCCCGACGAGGCGGCAGGCCCTCCGCAGGCCCGCGAGCTCCACCCGAGCCTCCTCGTGGACGACCGCTCGGCAGCGCCGGGCGCCACGGAGGAGAAGGCGCCATCGGCTGGCGCCCTCCCGCTCGGGCCCAGGCGGCCCGAAGGGCGGGTCGACCTCCACCTCGGGCCTCGACTCCATCCAGCGCCGGCGCCCGCGCCCCCGCGGCGCGGCGGGGCGAGGCACTGGCGTCTGGCGCTTGGCCCAGGCGAGCAGGTCCGAGCCCGAGTGCCCGCCAGACGGAGCCGCCGAGCCCGGGTCGTCGGCGCGGCCAGTGCCGTCGCCGAGGGCCTCGGGCTCCACGACGAAGCGCCAACGCTCCTTGACCTCGGCGGCGTCGACGACCTCGGCGCGGCTGGACCCGGCGCAGGACAGCGCGTAGGCGATCGGGGCATGCTTCGGCTTGATCGAGACCTCGCTGGCCACGAAGACGAGGCCGCACAAGATCGTAAGCTCGTTCTGGAGGTCGCGGTCGAAGAGCCCGTGGCCCTGGCCCGCGCGCTTCCCCAAGAAACGGCAAACGCGGCCCACGGCGCTCATGCCCTCTGGCCACAGCCCGAAGTAGTTGACCAAGTGCCCGACGACGCGCCCCATCGCGCGGCTGGTGCACCCGCGCTGCGCCGAGAGAGCGCGGAGCGCCTGGCACAGCCGCCACGCCCTCTTGCGCGTCTGCCGCGCCACGCACTCGCGGCCCAGCCGCAGCCCGAGCCCCACCGACTCGACGACGGGAATGGCCTCGACGACCTGGCGGCAAGCCAAGCCGGCCTTCGAGGGCGCCCGCAACACCGCAGCAGACCCGATCTCGGTGTCGCGGCGCGCGCTGCCGATCTCAACGTAGACGGCGGCGACGGGCGCCCCGCCCGTGACCTGTAGCGGGACCGCGCGATCAGCGATCAGAGCGCCACGCCCTCCGACCTCCTCCATCGCGGCCGAGACGCGCTGCGCCATCAACGAGCGGCAGAAGCACAACGCGAACGCCCAGCCCACCGCGAGCCCCTCGAAGCAGGAGAACAGCGGATCGTCTGGCAGGACGGCCTCGAGGACGCCAGTGTCCAGGTTGTGGGCGGAGTCGACACCCCACGTGGCGGCGCCCTCAGGGAAGTCCACACCGAACCACTCGCATACCTCCTCCATGGTAAACTGGCAGACAGAATCGGCGAGGTCCACCGTCGCGGCGCGGGGCAGGTCGGCCTCGCGCGCCAGCGCGCCAGAGCCCGGCCCGCGGCCGCGCGCCTCCTCGGATAGGCCGAGCGACGCGAGGGCCGCTGGCGCAACGAGGCGGGCCTTCGGCGCCTTCCGGTGGAACTGGTTCGGCACGCGGGCGCGGCAGACGAGCCTCTGCACGCCGCCCTTCTCCCCAGCGGTGAATACGCCGCCTCGGGAAGCGGAGCCGAGCGCCCCGATGGCAGCGCAGCTTCTCGCCCCAGGACGGCCGCGTGGCCTGGAGCTCCCCGTTGTCGATCTCAGCCTGGCCCTTGGTGAACGAGCGCTCGACGGCGGAGTTCGCGCCCCGGTAGAACTGCGCGGCCTCCACGGTGAGCCTGTCCAAGAGCGGCCTCGGCTCGGCGCCCCGGCGGCAGATCTTGACCTTGTCCTCGATCTCATGTCGCTCGATCTCATGTCCTTTGTCTTGCAAAGCGCAAGCAAAGCTTCGTCGCCAGACACATTCTCGGTCGGGCTCGGAAAGGACGCCACTCTCCGCCCCGCTCTATGCACAACAGGAAGCTGGGAGGACGTCAGCGACCTCGTCACGTCTGGCTTGGGGGGGTTGACCTCCCCGACCTAGTTCGGGGCGAGCGCGTTCAGCGACGCGAGTCAGCGACTCCCTGAGCCGGAACTCCCAGCACTCACGGCGACGCTGGCGCTGGGCGAGCGACCGGTTCGTCGGGCGCGCCGCCTCGGCGCGGGGCGGCAGCCGCAGGGGGAAGGGGTCGACGCGGCCTGGACCATCGAGGCGTCTCTCGTCCTTCTCACCACCACAGCCTCCGCGAATGCCAAAACTGCCGAAGCGGCTGCCGACGAGGGCGCGACTACGACCAGCGTCTCGCCACGGTAGCCGCCCTGGCACTGGGGCCGTCATTTGTCGCCCGCCCCGCCATTCCGCGCGGCGGACCTCTTGGCGGCGGCGGCCCTCTCCTCCCGCAGCAGCAGACCCTGTTTCATGATCTGGGCCTGGCACCGCTGGCGGGCGGCGAGCCACTCGTTGAACATCTCGGCGACGGCCCCTCCTGCTGAGGCGAGGGCCGACATTTGCGCATGATCTCGAAGCCCAAAAAGTCGGGCTGCTTGGGATTCCGCTCGACGGCCTGCTCAATCTGCAGCAGCATCCTGACTCGGAACTCCGATCCAACGAGCTGCGTCAGGTCGAGCTGGTCGAGGGTGACCTCGACCCGGAGCTGGTCGCAGATGAGGAAGTGCCCCCGTCAGACGGCACCCCTCTCTCCAACCCCGCTCTCGTGCTTCCAGTTCACGCGGTAGGCGACTGGCGCGAATCCGACCACGATCGGAGCCTCGAAGAAGGCGAGCACAACCGAGAGGCCGTGCAGGAGGCGAGTCGGGGATCGGCGCTCCAGACCACTGTCGCACGGACTCCTCCTCTCTCAAGAACCGCTTGCCACGCGGATCCCTCGCGAGGCCCAAAACTCGCTTGCCCCGGCCGGGCCAGCTGCCCTTCTTGTCCCTCCAGGGCGCCAAGTCGCTGCCCCCCACGCACTCGATGCTGACCCAGCGCTCGTCGAGGTAGGCGGGCCCCGCGCCACCTCGGATGACGACACTCTCCTCGTCGTCGAACGCCTCGTCGGGGACCGCCTCGCCGAACTGCACGTGCGCCGTGTCGCTCACTCGCCAAACACCCGCAGGCCGATCCCGTCAAGCCACTCGAAAGCCAACCGTCTCGGCGCACATTTTCGCCTGCCTGCCGAGCGCCTCCCCCTCGCCATCCTCGGGCTCGTCGAAGATGCAGGCGTCGCCTCGGACGCGTGCTGGGAGCTCCTCGCCCAGCCGCAGCGGGATGATCCGGCGCCGCGCGAGGTCGAGGATCTGCAGGCGGTGGTCCGGAGTGCTGGCCACCAACACTGCGTGCCGCCGCCGCGGCGAATCAGCAGCCGCATGCGCCATGCGAGGCTGTCGTCGTCAGGGTAGTCGACCAGGACAATCCGGCACTCGGTCGCCAGAGCGTGAGTCGCCATTGTGGCGAACTCACGCTGTGCCCAGTTGGCGTCGGAGCCTGGGCGCGTTCGCGCCCAGACCTGGCAGCGCCGCGGACGCCCCTGCGTCAGCACCGCGTCCGCCCACGCGCCCGTCCGGCTCCTCGGCGACGTCGAACAGTGCCTGGGGCGCAGCCCGAATCCGTCGCCGCCCCCGCGACAGCGGCACACCCAGGGCGGCGCCAGCAGTGAAGGCCCCGACCGCCACGACCACGAGCCACCACCAGGGCAGCCCAGCACACGGCGCGCAGGCTTCGCACGCCTCACACGCCCGCACGGGGCAGGCCAGCGCCGGCGCCGGCTTCCACGCCGGGAACTTCAGCGTTGCCTTGGGTGCCTACGATGCCGCTGGGCACGGCGGCGGCGGCGGGCACGCCATGTGCCCAGGCCCGCGCCGCTCCAGCTGCTGCCCGAGCAGGGCCAGCACCTTCTCCGAGGGCTCGAGCAGGCCCTCGTAGGAGATGTGGCAGTCGCAGTTGCAGGCCCCCTCCCTAGGGTTCCCGCCAGCCCGCAGCCCGCCGAAGAAACTGCCCACCGCGCTGCCGGCGAAGATGGCCCACCCGGGCCACATCCGCCGCGGTCGGCACCGTTGACTTGAGCACAGACGATTGCGAAAAACACTACCAACTGCAAAGTAAAGATGGAGCAGGGTGGCCGTGGACGATTTCTGAACATTTGCACCCGGGGGGGCGGTTTGCTCAAAAATTGCCCGGGTCCTGTTGTGCCCAAGCTACCGCTGCGCGCGTGATTTCACCTTGAGCATGTAGGATAACATTCGCTTCGTACACGGTGAGCTCCGATGCAACAACAGATCGTCATTATATATTCATCCAATATACAGATGTATACATACATATGTGTATATGCGAATTGCCGCGGGCACCTACCTCGATCGAAAAGAAGAAGAGGAGAATGACGAGGTGGAGGAGGAGGAGGAGGGGGAGGAGGAGGAGGAGAAAGAAAGAGAAAAAAAGATTTCGTCGTCGCCGCCGATGTCTCACTGATTCTCGTGGTCCCTCGAGCACCCGAGGCATCTCCTCGAATTCAGCCTCCAGAAATCGTTTTCGGCACCGGGGACCACAACCACCGGAAGTCCGGGATGAGGATCGACCCCCTCTGGCCGGCGCCACCCCTTCGCAAACGAAGGAACACAGGGTGGATCGAGGCTCGAGGCATGAGACTCCTAGTTCTTGGGCGCTCTCCGCCCCCTTCTGGGCCTTCAAGAAGTTCCTCGTCGACACAGTTGGGTCCACTCTTGAGCTGCTGGCCGGACGCAACCCCAGCTGGGTGTCAACGATCCCCGAGCCTATCCATGAGGTGGAAAAAGAAGCCTGGGACAGGCCCCATGAAGGTACCAAGAAAGTCACATAAGACCACGAAAAACTTCAAAGCAATCCACATACAAGGCACCCACTTGAAGCCCACACGCTACGCAGGACAGGCCGAAATCCCAAGATTGCCCAGCGATCGCGCGCGTTCCGCGCGTTCACTCTTGATGCCGCCCGAAGGGGTCGGCGGCGCGGCGTCACCCAATGAATCTGTCTCACAAAATCTAAAAAATGTTGCACGGATTTACGCGCGCGCGCGCGACAACGCGCGCGCGTGGGCTGCGCCATCTGTTGCGAGAGATTATTGGAAACTGATTATGGGGGATACCCTGATAAGCGCGCATGAAGCCAGGTGCAATGGGTGAAGGGGGAAGCCCCGCTGGGCTGGGATGATATGAATTCAAACGCAAAATGAAAGACGGGGCACAATCGTGCAGAAATGCAACACGCGAGGCCAGACAGACATTCCCGAGGCGGGGGGGGGATCCGAATTCTGGCGAAGAATGGAGAAGATACGTAGTGCAGTCCATACGGCACAACCCACGCGGTGCAAGACAGCTCGTACATTCGATGTGGAACCGCATGCGCGGTGAACTACTTGACGTGATCCAATGTAGAACGTTGGTGCGCCGATGCAGATCACGCCGATGACGATGATGGCGCCCGCGCGTCGGCCACGCAGGTTTTGGAAAATGTGCAACATGCGCGCGCGGCAGACGCGCGCGAGTGGACTGCATGGCATCCGACAGGGATCGCGCCCCCCCCCCCCCCACCCCCAGCACGCGCGCAAGGGCGTTCGAATGATTTCGACATGCGCGCGCGAGACGCACGCTTGGTCAAATCGGAAAAACGCAACGTGATCATAACACGTTCAACAAAACGTGCACAATTGTTTTGAAAGCCCATGTTATCAAACACATTGCGCTTTTCATTTATACGGGTCACACGATGCTAAAATATCTGCGAAACCCAAGGTTGTTGAAGGATCTCGAAATGCGCGCGCGACGACGCGCGCGTGCACTTCGTCTATGTTCTGTTTCACGGGGTCTTCGCGAATTGAGGCCATTTGGTAAACGTGCGTGCGCGCATCCGGCTTTTTGCAGAGGATGGGGGCGGCCGTGCCAGCTGGGCTGGGATCAGACGGTTTCATATCTAGAGTGACGAGTGTGCAGAATTTTCTGGAAACTGCACATCCACATGGGGGCGCAGTTAAGCCCGCCCCCGGGAGGGCGGCGGGATTTGCCCTCTTGGGGCAGGAGCATCCATGCTGTGAAATCGGCGTGGCGCCGCCCATGCGGCTCAATTAACTACACTGCGCCGCGCGCGACCACCTCCCATGCTCGCGCAATCACCCCATCCCCCCAGCCGCAGCTTGGTTCGCAAAACCCTTGCGGCGGCTATTGCGATGGCTGCTTTGCTCCGGCTGGCCCCTCGCCGCGGCCGCGCTAGCGCGCGCAGGCTCGCGCGAAGGGCAGCCAACTAGTCAGGCGCGACCGACGGGACCCCGGTGGCGCTGACCGCTGGGGACTCCCCAGCGCGTCTCGCAGGCCGCGCTGGCGCGCGGGCAATTCAATGCGAGTCGGTGACTTCGGCAGACGCGGCATCGCGGCCATGTCAACGACGGCCGACACGACGATGATAGTAGCGACGCCAGCAGAGACGATGACGATGACGACGGCGAGGCCAATGACAGCGCCGATAAGGATCAGGCCGATGGCGGCGATGGCGCCCTCGCATCGGCGATGAAGGCTCCAGGAACAAATCGACGCGCGCGCAAGGTCAACGCGCGCGAGTGCCCCGCACAACATTGTTTGACAAGGCCCTTGCCGCCAAGCACGCGCGCAAGGAAACTCGAATGATTTCGACATGCACGCGCGAGAAGTCCGTGTGATCGCATGTGATGAATATGTTGAGAACCTATGGTTTTCCCCCAGATTCGCGAGAGCGCGCGCGAAGATTGTTTGAAAGCTCACACTGCAAAAAACACGTGTGCATGAATATGTTTTCGGAACGATTGATCTTGAGTTCCTGACGAAACATAAGACTTTTGAAGGATTGGGGCATGCGCGCGCGACGGCGCGCCCGTGCGGACCTCGTCCAACTCGTTGCAAGGGGTTCCCGCAAGCTGATGATTTGTGATAAACGAATGTGCGCGCATAGCATTGTTGGGACACGGATGACGGGGCCAGTCGAGATCGGCGCGGCTGGGATGTCATGATGCTTCCATAGGGACATGAACATGAATGCAAATCATATGTCAACTGCAAAATAAAAAGGCGGGCGGATAATACGGGGAGGGGACGGGCGGGGATAATCAAAATACCTCCCGGCAAATCCTGGAGGGGCGATTTGTGGGGTGCGCTGTGTGGCGCAATCTAGGGTGCGCACTCTACGTTGTGCAACGCATGTTGTGCAATCTTTTAGGTGCAATCGATGTGATACTTTGTGGCACGATCTATGTGATGCAATTCCCCTTGACGAACTTGAAATTGTCAACTCCACTACCCACGCAATCATCCCACCCACCCACCCACCCACCCACCCGCAACTCGGCTTGCAATTCCCACGCGGCAACGACTGCGATGACTGCAAGGACCGACCACAACGATGTTTCCAACGCGTTGGCGTTTAGATCGAAAACGAAAACGGATCCGAACGTTGCCAACGAAACGCTTCAAAACGAAATTGTGCAAAAGGTAAACGAAAACCGACGCCGTCATTCAACGACACAACAAAACGAAAAACGTAACGAACTCCGAACACCTCGTTGGAAACAAAACGGAAAATGAAACGATGGCTCCGAAAAATGGCTGAGGACGGGGCAGCATTGGATGGGGCTTGTTGCCAGGGGGAACGCGAAAGGCGAGGTTCTGACTGGGGCCCGACGCAAACGAAATGACGAAATGAAACAAACCAAAGACCAAATGGAAAAACGAATCAGGGCATTGCGGCGAGGGCTACAGGGCCAGGGCTAAGGCGAGGGGCGAGGTATCGTTTGAGGCTCATGCGAAAACAAACAAAAAACGAAACGAAAACGAATCAGGGCTGCGGCGAGGGCTGCCGGGCCAGGCGTAAGGCGAGGGGCGAGGTCCCGTGTGAGGCCGCTGCGAAACAAACGAAAACGAAACGAACAACGAACCAGGATTGCGGCGAGGGCTACAGGGCCAGGGCTAGGGCGAGGGACGAGGTCCCGTGTGAGGCCTCTGCGACAACGAGCGAAAAACCGAACGAACCGCGGACGAAAGCGGCGGCGAGGACCGCAGGGTCGGGGCCAAGGCGAGGGGCGCAATCCCGGTTGAGGCTCGTCCGAAAACAAAGTAACACCGAAACGAGAAGCAAGCCAGGGTGGCGGCGAAGGCCACAGGGCCAGGGCCAGGGCGAGGGACCAGGTCCCGCTTGAGGCCTGCACGAGAACGAACGAGAAAGAACAGCAAGACGAAACACCGAGCCGGGGCTGCGGCAGGGGCCGCACGGCCAGGGCGAGGGCGAGAGGGCGGCACTCACGCCTGCAAATGGTCGGGCCATTCGCCAAGACAGTTTTCTCCGGTTGGCCCCAAGAGGGGGGGGGAAATGGTTTCCAGGACGGCCATTACGGCTTCCACGACGGCCAAGGTTGGCCCAGGACGGCCAAGAATAACCGCACGATGCCCCTAAGCCCGCCCAAGAAGCCACCAAGACTGCCCAAGGTAGCCTCACAATGGTCCACGACGCCCAAAAAGGCCCCCAAGAAGCCTGCATGACGGCCCAAGAGGCCTCCAAGAGGTCCCCCAAGAAGGCCACAAGAGACCAAAATCACTCATTGTTTGTGATATGATGTTGACCGTAGCATAGGTTCGGCCTCCCGACGGCCCGAAACGGCCCAAGGCCCCCAACATCGCCCCAAGATCGTTCAAAAAGGCCTCCATAATGGCCCCTGTCACGGCCCAAGAGGCCCCCAAGACGGCTCCAAGAGGTCCACGGAATAAGTTGGTTTCAGTGCCCAGCATTCCTTAAATCCATTCGCTCTCTCTCTCTCTCTTTCTCTCTCTCTCTCTCTCTCTCTCTCTCTCTCTATCTCTCCTTCACTCTCTGCATATCCCTGCCCCCTTCCCTCCTGCTCCTTGGTTGGGCACCACTCACGCACAGCAGCAGCGAGCACGGTTTACGATGGCGGGCGGGGTCTGGATTCTGGCCGCGTTGTGGCGTTATTGGTCCGTCTGACGCCGTCGGAAGCCGTTCTTGGAACCTCTCTGGGCCGTCTTGG